TTGATAACCTTGAACTTTCTCAGGCAGGCACTTTAAGGGAGGCCGAGGCCGTCCAAGGGATGTGGCTTTGAGCTGTTAAAAAGTATGTTAGTGTTTTCTTCAAGTCTTTATAAGCCAAGGTGGAGGCTGGAGTTTGGTCAAGGACAGAATCTTTGTCAGCGATCCCCTCACCAGCCCTGGGAAGTGAGGGCGGCCAGTGGGGAAATGAGGAGGAGAGAGTCATAGTGCCTCCAGGACCGAAGGAGAACAGGGGCGGCGTGCCTTGACCAGCCCCAGCTGGTCCCCCCGCTGCCCCAGCTCCCCTCGCCGCCCCCCACCGCCCACCTCAGGTCCTCTCCTGCGGCACTTAGGGGGGCATCTCGGAACCGTCAGCATTTTTACATGCAGGGAAGGGGCAAGGTTAGTATACCTCTGTGTCGCCATGGCTGGTCAATACATGTTAAAGATCAAACAATGCATAGGGAGCCTACGATGATCTACAGAAAGGCAGCGCAAACAGATACAACTAAGAGTTGGGGCCCCCAGGGACTGTGTGGACCATGAGTGCATAGTCTCCTTCCTGGAGCACCACCATGCCTGCCCGAGCGGTGGGACCTGTGAGTGGGCACAGCACCCATTCTCAACGGCCAGGCACCAGGGTCTGAGACTGGCATGAGAGATACAGAGATCGTGAGGCATTTGGCTGGGGATTCCAATTGTACCCACTAATGAAGTCACGCGTCCAACCCTCCACCTGATCTTCATCTGCTCATCAAACGTTTACTTAGCATTGTCAGCCTGCTAAGCATCACATAAAGTATTGAGGGGTCATGGACAAAGAAAACATCCTCTCTCTTTGCAAGGAGCACTTCCTGAGGGAAATTACGATATGTACATGGATCCCTCAGAGGCACAGCTTCGCTTGAGCGCTCTCCAGCCGTGCCCTGCAGTCCGGAGAGTGCCGGTGTGCCTCCGCCTTGGCCCTTCAGGTTGAAGCTTGAACCAGCTTAGCTCTGTGGTATGGCTCAGGCAGGACTAAAAGCGGCCGGTGTTGGAAAGAGCAGTGGTCTAGAAAGAGAGGGACCTGGCATCCCAGCAACAGCTGGTTACGTCCTCTCTCTAAGCCCTCAATTTCCTCATTGCTAGGTGAAGGGTTTGGACTGGGCAGTCCCCGAGGTCTCCACCAGCTCTGCCATTCTGTGCTCTTACCTCGAATGCCTCAAGGACAAATACATGTGTCCTCAGCACCTGGTACAGTCTGGGAATGTGGTACCCGGATGAGTAAGTAAATGAGTAATAGAAAAGAAATACCTACATTGATAAAGATACCTATAAAGAATTAATACACATAAAGCATCTTCAATGCCCCAATCTGTGCACAGGAAGCAGAACACCCCTGGACTTCAATGAATATCATCACGTTCCTCAATAGCTAAGGCTGGTTTTTCTTTCCGTGACGTGTTCGTTTTCAGTACAACCTCAGTAGTTCACAGGGGCATCCTGCCATTTTAGTCCTCCTGTAAGACATAGGAGAAGCCAAACTGTTTCTGTGAATTTGGGGTAGAAGCATTACAGTTCAAGGATTAGCGTAAATGGGATCAAAGTCATCAAGCAGAATTAGTGGACCCTGCCCGGAGATCTCATGAAAAATAAAGACACTGGGAGAAAAGAGACAGTGTGGACAGAATTGGCTCAAGAGTTAAGGCTTAAGTTCAGGCCCCAGCTCTTCTACTATCAACTGTGGGATGGCCTTGGGCAAGACACATCGCCCCTCTGCCGCTGTTCTCTCGGGTATCACATGAAGGGTTTAGACCATGTGATCTCCAAGTATCTGCCAGCAGGAAGATTCAAGGCTTCTCCATCATCTGTGATGATTAGAAAAGCCCAAAGACTATGGGACTATTACCTAAAAGTAGCCCCATGCGCTAACGGATGATGAAGCCCACAACTAAGATTAAGAAGGTTGTTGCTGGAGATAACCCCAGAAAATGCAAGGCTTCCTAGTCCAGGCACCACGTCGGTCCTTCTCCACGATCTGACCCCATTTGTGCCTCAGCTAAACCCTCTTTACTGAGGGGCCAGGGCAGGACTGAGCCAGATCTGCGATCCTGTTTCAGGAGGGTGGATGGAGTCTGTGTGGTTGGTCCCAGGAGTGGCTTGCGTACTGGGCAGGGTGGACAGAGCAGGTCAGGGAGTGAGGAGGTGGGTTCTGTGGTCTGGGGCTGCAGCCGGGCAGATAGCTCCAAGCAGTCATTAGAACCACTGATGCTCCAGAAAACTCGCTAGTGAGGTGATCAAACCCTTTAATACAGGAGATGTATTAAAGGAGGCAGCCCAGCTATAAAGAGCCAATTCCCTGCGTTCTTTTTTTTTTTTTTTTTTTTAAGATTTTATTTATTTATTTTTAGAGGGGAAGGGAGGGAGAAAGAGAGGGAGAGAAACATAGATCAGTTTCTGGGCAACCGTGGCATGTGCCCTGACCACAGTTCCCTGGGTTCTTTATATCAGCTTTGGGTCTGAGCTTTTAATCTGAAGGAGTCCTTCTCTAGCTGCTTCTCTGTGTAGAATAGGGGAACCTCTGACCCCAAATCTGAAGCAAGAGGAAAAAAAAACAGAGGCTGTGCCCTGTGAACATCTGGGTGTCCCTGCTCTGAGAGGTTCAAGGAAAAGCTGGGCCCAGGCCTCCCCCTCCAAGACGGCGCCTCCACTCACCCTCCATTCCCTTTCTGTGGTTCTGTTCCCATCGATGCACTCCGCAACACTTGGCCAGAGTTATATTTGCATTTGTTTTTTTGCTTTATTGTTCATCTTTCCCACTAAAATATCAGTCTAAGAAGGCAGAGACTTTGTTCCTGGATGTACCCACAGCTCCTAGAACAGGATCAGGCCCCTGAAAGATGGTCAGTCACTTATTTGGCTAAACAAAGAAGTGAATGGAGTGAGTTCAGGCTGGCCAGTGCAGAGAGGATAAGGGGACACTCCAGACGTCAGTCTTGGCGGCCCAGCACCCCCCATCCCAACCAGGCCTCTTCCCGTTATTTTGATCTGACACCCTGAACTCTGTTTGGGCTGCTCAGACCCACAGAGTCCTCCTGCCACTTTCCTCTACTTATGACCAGAGTTTCCCCTGGAGGCCTCCTAGCTTGCGGTGGCCCACTGCCCTAGGGACAGAGCACTGACAGAGGCAAGGCAGGTCTGTGAGAAATCAAGGCTGATGTCTCAGCCCGGGCCAGCCTACCCAGGGCCGAGCCCCCAGCCAGGGGCCAGGCCTCATTGGCTGCTGCTGGCTCTAGGTTAGCGTGTCCCTTCGGGTGGGGGTGGGGGAGGGGGTGGGAAAGAGGGGGTGGCATCTCTACCTCAGGCCCGGCCTCTGCATTCCAGCTCCTCTCGGGTCTTCCTTCTCCAGGTTTTCTGTGTTCTCTTGTTCATCCTCTGCCTTTTTTGACAACCTAGTGGGAGCCTGTGTTTTCAGCAAATCTATGGGGAGGAAGGTGAGAGATGCAGGGCACAGAGAAAACGTCCTTAAACACTTCGAGGAGCCTCTGCAAGCCATTGCCCTGCACTTGTTCAGCCTCTCGGGAGTGGCGTGGTTTCCTGGTGACCTCCCTGGTTCCCCTGTGCAGAATGTTCTGCGGTTGCCCCAGCCTGCGCAGCATGTCACAGACACATCGGTCCTGGGGACTCTCCTTTCTCATGTGGGACAGAATTGGGGTCTATCAGTTCTGCCATCCCCTCCAGGGGCCTACGAGGGTCTTTGCGAAATCACAGTCGACAGAATCAGGAATCCCCCTGCCCCCCTGGCCAAAAAAAAGGAAGAGAAAAGCAGTCCAAGGCTGCAGTGCTTATCGGGAGCAGAACTCCATCAGCTTTGCTGTTTTCTCTAGCAGTTCACGTAGGGGCTTCCCTCCCTCACGTCACCCACGTGTCCCTGTGTCACAGCACAGTGTCCCCACCTCCACCCTACATGTCCCAGCTGATTTCTGGCTGCAAAAGAAGACAACTCTGACATCCTCCTTGGCCTTGGAATCACTGAACACCAGAGCTGAAAGGAACATTACGGAACATCTAAGCCTGTCCCTCCTGTTGCCAGTCAACAAAATCTTTGGGATACTTGTGAAAAATATGGATCCCTGATTGCTGCCACCAAGACTCTGACCCAGTAGGTCTCAGTGGGCCCAGGCATCTGCATTTTCACAGGCAGAGCGCCGTGGATTTTAGGGCAGTGAAACTAATCACTCTGATACCATCCAGGTGACTACATTTGCCCAAATGCATAAAAAGTACAACCCATGAACTTTTGGTGATAATAATGTGTCACTGTAGGTTCATTGATTGCAACTAATATACCACTTCGGTGGGGGATGTTGATAGCGAGGGAGGCTGTGCGTGTGTGGGGCATATGGGAAACCTCTGTACCCTCCCGTTGATTTTGCTGTGAGCCTAGAACTGCTCTGAAAAAGTAAAGTCTGTTCTCGTAGACACAGAGAACAGACTGATGGTCACCAGAGGGGAGAGGGGGCGAAGGACTGGATGAAGAAGGTGGAGGCATAAGAAGTACGAACTGGTAGTTACAAAGTAGTCATATATAGTCACTATATATGGAGATATATATATATATACACACATATATATATATATATCTAGTCAATAATATTGTAATATCTCTGTATGGTACCAGGTGGGTACTGCAAATATCAGGGGAAGCAGTTTGTGAAGTGGGTGATTGTCTGACTACTATGCTGTACACATGAAACGAATACAAAGTCATATTGAACATAAGCTGTAATTTTAAAAAGAAAGAAAATAAAGTCTAATGAAAGAAAATAAGAGGTGGAGAAGAGAAGGCTGACGAAGAGCCGTGGTAACACCATGATCTGCACTGGCCGCAGCTTTGGTTGAGGCTGTAGCCGCAGGCCCCTCTTCCCCAGGCAGGCGGGGCAGATAGAGGGGAGCCGGGGGAGCTCCCTGGGGGGCCCCGGTGTACCCGGAGCAGAGCAGTGACTGTGGGCTGCTCCCAACAGGTGGCTTGGAGGTGTTGATGGTGCGGCTGGTGAACGGCTCGGGCCCACACGAGGGCCGAGTGGAGGTGTACCACGACCGGCTCTGGGGCACCGTGTGCGACGACGGCTGGGACAAGAAGGACGGGGACGTGGTGTGCCGCATGCTGGGCTTCCCTGGCGTAGAAGAGGTGTCCCGGACAGCTCGCTTCGGGCAAGGTAAGGTGGTTTAGAGGAGAAGGACCCAGGGAAAAGGCCCAGGAATCCCAGGACGGGTCTCCCCTCCAAAGCTCCAGTCCCCCCTGCAGCCATCATGCCCTGTGTCACCTGGCCTCTGCCCAGATGCTTCCTGCAACAGGAAGCTCACTGTCCCCCAGGCGAGGCAGCCTGCCTTTGGACAGTTCTGGTTATTAGAACGTTGTTTCTTTGCCCAACGCACCCTGCTGATTGGCTAAAGGGACTTGGGGTGTGGCATGAGAGGAGGGGCTGTGCGTCCTGTCCAGGCAGGGAAGTGGAGCCAGGTCACATCCAGACTGGCCGTGGCACCCCCTACTCCTCGCAGCTGCCTCTCTCCCCGTCCCCACTACGGGCTGCTGCAATTCTTGCTCAGTATCTTGTCCCTTAGACGTCAGTCACTGTTACGGACTGACTATTTGTATCTGCCCCAAATTCATATGTTGAAATCCTGATCCCCAACATAGTATTAGGAGACAGGGCCTTTGGGAGGTGATTGGGTTATCAGTGGAGCCTTTATGGTAGGATTGGCACCCTTATAAAAGGAACCTCTAAGCCCTGGCCAGATGGCTCAGTTTGTTGGAGCATCATCCTCTACACCAAAAGGTTGTGGGTTCAGTTCCTGGTCAGAGCACAAACCTAGGCTGTGGGTTTGATCCCAGGTCAGGATGTGTACAGAAGACGACTGATCGATGTTCCTCTTTCACATCAATATTTCTCTCCCCCTCTCCCTCTCACTTCCTCTCTCTCTAAAATCAGTAACTCAGATGGGGACTAAAAAACAAACAAACAAACAAAAACCAAGGGAAATCCCTAAATGCTCCCCTATCCTCCTTCTGTGAAGATACATAGAGAAGTCTAAAGCTGAAAGAGGACTGTCATCAGAACCCAATGGTGCTGGCACCCTGGTCTCGGACTTCCAGCCTAGGATTGTGAGAAATGCTCTGGGCCACCCAGTCTACGCTACTTTGCTACAGCGGCCGGAGCAGGCTGAGAATCGCACTGACCGAAAGTGACTCTTGGTGAAGTCTGTTGTGACAGCTGGTGGAGAGCAGCCACTTGACCCCACACATACTGGCTTCTCCACTTGAAAGGCCAGAGTGCACAGGGAGTTCAGAGGGTCCCACGCCACAGGGGCAGCCCACCGGGGCAGAGCGCTTGCCCCCCACTTAAGGTTTGGGGCTGGATTTCAGCTGATTTTCTTCAAGAAAAAAACTGCCATTTTTGTTTGCATAAAGAGCAGAAACAGTAGAAACAAGCTCTTGTTTTTCAGTGTTTGAGTCTAATGACTCAATGTTTTGAGTCTTCCTAATAAGTGGAAGTAAAACCTTTCTGGGGGGAAAACCCCACAAAAACTTTTAGAGAAGCCAAAAGAGGCCACTTGAATGCCATGGGCAGTGTTAGCCTAAAACTGAGCCTTCATGGCCTTTTTCCTTCCCCCTTGATTTTTATATCATAGGACATGTGGAGAAGTCCTCAAATTGCAACTTGATTCTTTCAGCCAGTCATTGGGAAGCTGGACTTGCTTCCATGTACACATGAAATTTGTACCATTCCCCCCAACCCCCATCACAGTCTAATAACTTATGTCATGTAATATTCAAGACCTTGACAGCTGGGCAGGCCAGGGGTTATGAATGGGCGTGCAGAGAGACATGGCGCCTGGGGAGGGGAAGGCACCCACCCAGCCTCGCCTCGCCCAGCGCCTTCCTGCCAGCTCAGCCTGCAATCCCTTCTTTCCACAGCAGATTCTAGGCACCTTCCACGGTTCAGACGCTGGGCTCCATGTGGCAGCACTGAGATGAGCAAACCTAGACTCTGGTCTCAACAGGCTCAGTGTAGAAGTGAAGGCAGACCTATGCATAGACACTGAACAGCATCGAAAGGGCTGTCACGTCAGAGCAGCTCTGAGGGCAGAGGGGAGGGGATGCTCGCCCATTCTGGCAGCAGGAGGGCTGTGCATCGGTCCAGACACCCCTCTGACCTCAGCCTCCTCCCCCGCTGGCACCCTGGCTCTCAGTCCCAGCGTGCCCACTGCTCAGCCTCACAGGGTCTCCCAAGCCCACAGTGCCTCCCTCCTTCTACCCTTACCTGCTCCTCTTCCCCTTGTCAGGTCCCCTTATCTCCCTGGGTCCCACAGATTCCCCCAGTGTCTGCCTCTCTGGTGTCCCTGGAAACTGTCCCCTGCTCTTTGTCCTCACTATTCCTGCCTTAGGAGCTCGGGCAGAGTATAACAGTGGTTAGGAGCCCAGGTTCGGGGGTCATGCCCAACTTAGAATCCCATGTCTGCCACTTGCTCACTGGCGACCTGGAGCAGGTTTCTTAACCTCTCCAAGCTTCGGTCCTTCCATTTTTGAAAGACGATTACAAGGGTCAGGTTTGGCTTCCTTATCTTGATCCTTCAAGCCCTTCCCTCATCTGCCGCCTGCCTCCCTCTCTCTCTTCAGCCACGTGAACCCTCTGGTGTTCTCTGAGCTCTCAGAGCTGTGTTTCCTGACTCTTCGGTCTGGAATGCCTTCCCTTTCTCTCCTTCTAGCCAACTCCTGCTCATCCCCTACGGCCAGCTCAGTTACCACCTCCTAAAGGCCCCTTCCATCCCCCTCTCCCCCTCCACCCCCCTCGAGGCTGTGCTCCCAGAGCACTTTTTGTGCGTACCTCTACCTCAACACCTCTCCACACTCTCTGATCTCTGATATATGCGTGAGCATCTCGTAGGCTTGACCTTCACAGCTCCAAACCCCGGCACTGTGCCTGGGACACAGTAAGTACTGGATAGACATGAGAGGGAAGAAGGGGAGGAGGGGAGGGAGAAACAGAGGGAGGGATTTCTTCCTTTCTGCTCCGAGTCCTCCCCAGGGTTATGCCAGAAACTGCCAATCCCTGGCAGTTCTCTCAGTGGTCCGGCACTAGAACAGCTTTCCTAGAAAGAGCTCAATAATCCAATTATCAGCTCCCTGGGAAGACCCAAATGAGAGAGCCTTAAAGATGTTTAGTTTGCGTTGGTCCAAGAGCTGTTGGAGGGGAGGTGAATGTGGGCCGAGGAGGTGCAGGGCGATGGCTGGAACGAGGTCTAGGGGGCGATGGACAGGACTAGGGTCTCGCGCAGCTGGGAATTACGCTTGGACCTGCAGAGGAAGCCTTTCTGTGCGACAGACAGAGAGGAGTGAGGACGGGTACAAATGCAGGCAGACTTGCAGGAAGGAGTAAGTGCATTAGAAGTGTTCATGTCTAATCATAACATTATTACCATTTCTCGTCCTTTGTTTTTCTAAAAAAATTCAAACACTGGGAGATGGCTTAGTGCAAGACCCAGCAAACGACGAAAGGCCAGGCAGTAAATATCATAGGCTTTGTGGGCCAGATGGTCTCTCTTACAACTCAGCACTGCAGTTGTAGCACAAAAGCAACCATAGACAAAATGTAATCAAGTGATGAGGCTATGTTCCAATAAAACTTTATTTACAAAAGCAGGCTGTGGGCTGCATTGGCCCAGGTTTCTCCACCCTCTGGCTTAGTGTTTGTATTGTGTACTGTGTACTGTGGTTCTATAAGGAACAAGGGCTGGATCAGCTGGATGTCAGAGGCCTGGGTCTTGGCCTCTTACCCTTAATAGTTATGAGACAAATTACGTGATCTTTCTGGGGCCTCAGTTTTCCTGACTCTTAAACACCTTTTCAGTAGCTATCCTGTTGCCCTCTGTAGGAAGCTCCCATGGAAGCCTACAGGATTCAGTGTAACTTATTCTTTTAATGTTACTCTAAATAAATATACAGAAGCTCAAATGTTAGCTCTACAAAGCAGAGATTTCTGTCATTGTTATTCTATCTTTTCTGTTCAATGACATAGTCCAAACATCCAAAATAGTGCTGAGCATGGAGTAGGCCCTTAAATATTTGTCGAATGAATGAATGACAAGGATCAAATAAAATTGCCACTGACTCATCCCAACCATAACCCCTTCCCACAGCCCCCAGTTCTCTACGTGTCAGAAGACCTGGCCTCTAGTCCTGATGTTGCCTACTCAAGATAAAACGTCAGTGCTGCTCTGTTACCCCGATCTACGCAGTGGGGAGCAGAGGACCCCAGCCTGCTTACCTGATAGGGCCTCGTTAGGGAGCTCCAAGAGAGAGCGTGCGTGCGTGCACACCTGGCGCAGGGCAGGGCTTCCCAGGCTTGCATGTACGCATGAATCACGGAGACCTTGCTAAAATGCAGGCTCTGGCTCAGATCTAAGTGGGCCCACGGCTCTGTACTTCTAACAAGTTCCCAGGTGATGCTGCTGCTCCTGGCCCTCGGGCCACACTCTGAGTAATCAGAGGTCAGTTCTGAGGATGAAATGATGCTTGGTGCCTGGAGTCACAGGAGTTCTCACCTCTCTGACTGGCTAGGAGCAGAGGCGTTTTGCGAGCTCATTGTCCCTTCGCCCCTGGGTCGCGTAATAACTGCAGATATTCAGTGCTGCCGATTTAACGACCTGACTTTCTTTTTATTAGCTCTTGCTTGATGAACATTAGCCAGGACTCCCTGGCTAAACACCAGCTAGAGTTTGGAGCTTCACAATCATCTATTCGCATTTGGGCCGCTAACCCTGGCTCTCTTCAGTATTCATCAGTCCACTTTATTCACTTCTTTATGTCTTTTGGTTGTAACTAATCCCACATTGCTCTTGCGCCTGCAGCCTTTTCCTGGGTAATTTGTAAACTGATGTGTTTTCCAGGAGACATCTAATCTGCAAATTACTTCTCAGCCTCAAAGGGTTTATTGTGTAACAGGCGTAGGGTATCTGGCCAGGGAAGAGGTTCAGGTGGAGAAATAGCATCCAGGGAGACAGTGGAAGGAGGCCTCCCCTCCCACCTCTGCCCCGAACTCACTGTGCTCCAGTCCCGTGACAACAGATGCTGCAAACCTCCGCATAAGGGAAGTATTAGTTCATGTGATTGAGTTAGGGTTTCTCCCATGCAGTCCGAGAGTGAGCAACAGTTTTAGGGTTTCACCAGTCAGTGCTGACAAGCCCTCTAAAAGGAGAGGTTGTCTGGCTGCTGAGAGATGGAATGGTGGCAGAGGGAGGCGGAGCTAGCGTCAGAATGTAGGGTTGACACAGCCAGTAATGTTGAAACCTATTTTATGACCTTTAACCCCAGGCTTTTTGGTGCCAGCTCATAGACCTAATAAGTCAGGGCACTGAAATGACCAACCATCCCAGTTTACCAAGAACTTACCCAGTTTTAGCACCAAAAGTCTCACACCCCAGGAATCCCCTCTAGTTTAAAATGGAAATGGGACCGAGACTTGAATCAAGGTCTGTCCTGCTTTGCAAAGCCCCACTTCTGCCGTGCTCATGCCTCCCACCCTCGGATGCGTAACCACTTGGTGAAAAGGGGGATCCTAGTTCAGTAGGTCCAGGGTGGGACCGAGGAGTTGCACTTCTAACAAGCTGTGGGCGGTGCTGATGCTGCGGCCAGGGCCACACTTCGAGTCGCGAAGCTCTAAGCGTTGCTTCCACGGGAGCCCTGCAGCTCAGCCCTCCTTGCAGACCACCCCCAGATGGGCTTCCACCACATAGGGCCTGGCACGGCCATCAGCCCAGAGAGCCCACCAGAACCGTGGGTGATGGTCCTGCCACTTCATCCGTGGGGGCTCCAGGTGACTTCTGGTGCAGCCCACACGCCTCTCTACTGACCCCCCTGATAGCCACACCCTCTCCATTCCCTGTTTGAGCCTTATCCAGGTGCCCTATCCCTCTGATATTTGTTGAGGGACCATACTGTCCAGTTCATGTCTCTCAAGGCTCAGGTATGATCCCAGGAAGGCCATCTAACCCGCCCCCCTGCCCCGCCGCCCCTCGCCGCCGCATGGGCTTTTTCCGGCCAGTAGGCAGATCCCACGAGATGTGAATAAACAGAGCTGACTTCAGGCAAAACTCAAATAGATTGTCTTAGGGACCTTCTATTATGGGAACAGACCTAATTGCTATGGTTGTCTCTGCCATCAAATATACATCTGGTTGTAATGTTCACTTCTGGGGTCCTCTGCTCTTCTAGCACTAATATTTGGAGCTCACAGTAGAGGAACCATCTAGGATAAACTTCACAATATTGGAGGTTATATTGGCACCGAAATACTTGGTGATGGGGCGCTGGGTCTGCCCAATCCAGTTTCTGCCTGACGTTGTCCCTCTGATTTGGCCCTGCCCGAGTATTCATCAGCAAGGACTACAATGTGTCTTATCTCAATGGTTATGCAGGGTCTCATAGGAAGTGTGGGCCTGGAACGTGGTAAGACTGGGGCTTGAGTTCAGACTGTGCCACGTACAAGCTGAACAACCCTGCATCTGTGGCTTTGTGAGCCTGTTTTCCCTTCTGTGAAATGGGTTTCTTGATACCTATCACACAGCCCCATCGTGAGAATGGAAGAAGATCCCGTGTGTAAGATGCCTGACACAGGGCACACTCAGTAAATACTGCCATCACCACTATCAATTATTGTTGTTCTGCCCTCAAAAAAACTGAGCCCAGAAAATAGGTGTTTGATCTTGGTGGGGCGGAGAGGCCAGACGGGAGCCACCAGATTTGCCAGGACAGCCTAGGCCAGCCTGGTCACAGACAGAGCGAGCCCTGCTGCCACGTCTCTTACGTCCTGCTCTCCTGCATATCTGCTAAGAAGCCGTGTCGACTTGTCTCCACAGGCACAGGGAAGATTTGGATGGATGATGTTGCCTGCAAGGGCTCAGAGACTACCATCTTCCGCTGCACCTTCTCCAAATGGGGGGTGACAAACTGCGGGCATGCTGAGGATGCTGGGGTGACATGCATCAGAGAGTGAAAGTGGACACAGCCAAGGTCCGGACCCTACTGACCAGCCTCCTTCCTGCTTTTCTGGGGCGGGGGCATCGCTTTGGGCTCCCCTGATCATGCCTCTGCCCTGCCCAGCACAGAGTCCCCCTAGCCTTTGTTCCTATCCGGGGGCTGCAGTGGCCTATTGCCATTCTCCTCTTGGACATTTGCTCCAAGCTGGAACTCTGGGATCTACTGCCTGCTTCTCCCTTCCACCAGAGTTCCTGAATGGGGAGCCCTGGTCAGCTGGGTTGCCATTTCCCCCAGCCTTCTAAACGCCATGCATCACGCCTCAATATGCACGTTCCCTGTGGTCTGTGAGTTGCAGATGAATGCTGAGACGGTGTTGGAGACAAAGGCCGCAGTGGAGATGGCAGGGAGGCATGGCAGCATTCACTCCTCACATAACTCCCAAACCTCAGTTCAGCCAAGAGTGTTGACGTCCTCCTTCCCGGCAAGAGACAATACTGAATGCCTCCTTTTCCCCTCCTTATGCCACCTCTTCATCCTTTTGTTAGTTTGGGGAAGTGACAGCCGTAGGAGAGGGAAATGCCAGTCACATGCAGGAATTAAGTTGGCTTTGGAGAAAGGGAGTAAAACTAACATTTACTGAGTGACCCCCACGTGCACTCCACAGTCTCTTGGGTGCTGAATTTATTTGTCCACTTTGCAGCATTTCTACAAGGCATGTCAGCTTAGACAGGACCTTCCCTCCATCCCGCCGGCCTAGACATCATAACATTGAGAACGACTGAGACCATTGTTTGTGTCTGAACCTTACTATGTCTTTGTTAGGCTTGAGCAAGAAGCTCTTGGGGCAAAACCTGTGTGTCTAGAGGGTTACAAACTCCAAAACCTATGGAGTATGAGCGCAAGAGCAGACACGACCGGCTTCCAGGCCAACCACCCACGCAAAAGCAAAGGTGGTTTGGTGGGTGACACGGGGGCTACCAGGGTTGAACCGAGACCAACACCCAGCCATCTGGCAGTCAGGGCTAGAGCCACATCTCCTGGGTCTCAGAGCGGTTTGGAGGTGATGATACGGAACCTACCAGACCTCTTTGGGTGCAATTCTGTGGTCAGGAGAACATGTGCCCTGACGGGTCCCAGAGGAGTAGGAGGAAATGAGGATTTCTTACAATCTCCGGGGGAGGCAGGGGCCCTGGTCTTCTGCACATCCTCAAATCGGCACCCCTCTCCTAGGGACAGGGGGACTGTACTCTGCTTTTGACATAAGGGGGAGGTCAAACTGGGCCATCTATGTGTTCTAAGACTAGGGGAGCTACATGGTACTGAGGGAGCACAGACCCGCCTTGCTTGGGGGAGTCACAGATTCACAGTCAGGTCTCGGACACACAGCCACCTGTCGTATCAGGTGAGCATCAGCCTGCCTGGGGAAAGCGGCGCCTGGGACCCTCCTGGTGTGGGACCAAGAAAGTTCCTGTCTGACTCAATATGTACTATTGGTTGTTCTTTGCTTACAGTATGCTTGTTACTCATTAGTGTCCTGATGATCTCGGACTCTCCTTCTGACCAGTTGCTGTGTTCACTCAACTCACATATACTCATGCATTTTTTTTTCCAGAGCCAATATATGTATGCGTATATAAACATGGCACTGTTTACTGCATAGCTCAGCACATTGCAAAGTTTGTATTAAAAAAAATACTAAAGGTGGAAAGATGTCACATTGAATAAAAAATTCCCAAGTTGGTTCTAGCAAAGAACCCAGTTACCCCACCGTTGAAGAACCTCATGAGATTCTTACTTGGTCTTTAATTTGGGAAACCACAAGTATTGTTTTATATCAAATAAAAATGATGCTGATAAGTGTTTGAACCTTAAAATAAAAGTCTACTAGTTTACATACCTACTTAAGAGGACATGGAAATCCCCATGGACCTGCACTTCAGGGACTAATGGAAATTAGGCTTGGCCTAAAGTACATCAGATCTTTTGTAAGAAAGAATTTCAATAAAGCTTAAAATATGTCACTGAAAAGCTTTTGCGTCACATTTTTTCTCATGAAAACCTGAGTGGGGAGGACTGGCGAGAGCTGGATGGTAGGAGCATTTCTCACTGGGGACTGGTAGGTTGGACATCTTATGAGAAGGCACCTTAATGCTCCTGGAAGGCAATAAACAACGTAGGCCAAGAACATGGTAGAGCACAATGTTTCAGGCCTTGTTCGGTCACCTAAGGAAAGAGCCCCAAGCAACAGAACAGTAATCGAGGCCCAGCTTATAAAAGAATTGCTTTTGTAGTCGATAAAAGAAACAACACTTGTCTATTTCCTCACATCTCCAGTTTTTACTTAGAGATATGCTTCCATATGGAGTTCTTATTCACATGTAAGAAGATCGTCCAGGCTTGGGCGCACGGTCTGTGAAGTTGCTGAGCCTCATCATCTAGTGAGAGGCAGAACCTCCCAGGCTCATGCAGTGCATGGGGATGGCTCAGGCCATTGCTTTGTCCTGGCCACATGCTCATAGCTGCCACCTGTGGGACTATCTAAGGCCCCGAGCTTGCTGTCGACCATGATAATTTGGTATGATTCTGGTGTTCTCTGAGCTCGCAGAGCTGTGTTTCCTGACTCTTCCATTTGAAATGCCTTCCCTTTCTCTCCTAGCCAACTCCTGCTCATCCCCAACGGCCAGCTCAGTTACCACCTCCTAAAGGCCCCTTCCATCCCCCTCTCCCCCTCCACCCCCCTCGAGGCTGTGCTCCCAGAGCGCTTTTTGTGCGTACCTCTACCTCAATACCTCTCACACTCTCCGATCTCTGATATATGTGTGAGCATCTCGTGGGCTTGACCTTCACAGCTCCAAACCCCGGCACTGTGCCTGGGACACAGTAAGTACTGGATAGACATGAGAGGGAAGAAGGGGAGGAGGGGAGGGAGAAACAGAGGGAGGGATTTCTTCCTTTCTGCTCCGAGTCCTCCCCAGGGTTATGCCAGAAACTGCCAATCCCTGGCAGTTCTCTCAGTGGTCCGGCACTAGAACAGCTTTCCTAGAAAGAGCTCAATAAAGCAATTATCAGTCTCCCTGGGAAGACCCAAATGAGAGAGCCTTAAAGATGTTTAGTTTGCGTTGGTCCAAGAGCTGTTGGAGGGGAGGTGAATGTGGGCCGAGGAGGTGCAGGGCGATGGCTGGAACGAGGTCTAGGGGGCGAGGGACAGGACTAGGGTCTCGCGCAGCTGGGAATTATGCTTGGACCTGCAGAGGAAGCCTTTCTGTGCGACAGACAGAAAGGAGTGAGGATGGGTACAAGAGTTTGCCAAGGATGAGGAGGTTGCAAAAATCAACAAGGCCGTGGAGAGGTGGCAACCAACTTCAACCTGGGTGTGGATGATGATGACCCTGAGGAGCTCCTAGAGGTGGTTCCTCAGGAACTGACTAATGAGGAGCTGTTGGAACTGGAACAGCAATGCACAGCAAGAGAAAGGAAACTTCAGGAGAATAATAAAAAGAAGAACCCTCAAAAAAATTTGTGGTGAAGAGTTTAGCAGAAGCTTTTACAAGCTTGTTCAAATATTTGAGAACACAGACCCCAACACTGAAAGGTTTTCATTAATAGAGAGGAATATTCATAATGCGTTATCTGCTTACAAGCATATCAATGATGAAACAAAAAAAGAAAAAGAAAAGACACAAACAAACCAAGCAAACCACATGGACATACTTCTGAAAAGAGTGACACCTCCTCAAGAGGAGCCTCAAGTAGGTCCTTCAGGAGGTGGTCCCGCAGAAGAGGTGGTGCCAGGGAAGGCAGTGTTACGAGAAAAGATGGCAGCTCCATGCATGTTATTGCCTTGAATCCTTCCGGTGGACAAGACGTGCTGATGAAGGTAAAAGACAGTGATACCGATCATCCGGACTCTGTGTAGGCATGGCTAATGTGTTTGTATCTTAGTTTTTACCAAAAAAAAAAAAAAAAAAAGAAATTGTAAAAAAAGTTAATAGAGAAAAGCTTATAGAATAAGGATGTGAAGAAAATATTATTGTACAGCTGTACAATGTGTTTGGATTTTAAACTAGTGTTATTCCAAAAGAGTCGAAAAGTTTAAAAAGTCAAAAAGTTTATAAGCAAAACGGTTACAATAAGCTAAGATTAATTTATTATGGAAGGAAGAAAAACATCTTCTATAACTTCAGTGCAGCCGGAGTGTGCAGCGTTGACAAGGTCCACAGCAGTGCCCAGCAGTGCCCGGGGCCTTCGTGTGCGCTCACCGCTTACTGGCTCACCCGCTCACCCAGGGCACCTTCCTGTCCTGCAAACCCACTCCTGGTAAGTGCCCTATACAGGTGTACTATTTTTTATCTTGTATACCATATTTTTAATGTTTAGCTATGTTCAGAGACACAAATGCTTACCATGTGTTGCAATTGCCCCCAGTATTCAGCACAGTAACATGCTGTGCAGGCTTGTAGCATAGCAGCAACAGGCTGGGCCTTGCAGCCTAGGAGTGGAGTGGGCTGTACCATCTAGGTTTGTGTCAGGGCACTCTACATACTTTGAACGTCGACAAAATCACCTAATGACGCACTTCTCAGAACATATCCCCATTGTTAAGTGACACATGACCGTATTGCTGCAAAACATGCCTTCACTCTTCTTGTCAGGCTATCTGTTGGACTGAGTCCAACCTAGATAAGCATCCAGAAGCCCCCTCTTTTCAGGTCTGCTTCTTTCCCCCTTCCTTACCCCTTTGCCCAATTCTCAGGGTTCCAGCTCCGCAGACCAAGGCTCTATCCTGAGTGGCAATTGTCCGTCCCTATGTTCCGCAGGGAATGTGCTTCCAATACCAACAAACCTCTGTTATTTCTCCTGATTGCCTCTCAGCATAATGTTGGTGTGAAGCTGAACGATCTCTCCTCCCCTCCAGAATGGAGAATAAGGAGGAAGAAAGGGAATGGAGGTACTGAAAACCCCATCCTGCCATGAAAACATTTCCGAATGATGAGCTGCTTTTAACTTTCTTAATTTGTACAATGACAGGAAGTAACACATTTAAATGTTTATTGAGCCCTTTCCTTATACCAGGCACACTGCCAGGTGCTGGAGACGCAGGTTATAATATACAGTCTGTTCAAGCCTCAAATGATTGCAAAGAAGAGCCACTCAAACTGCCTCACCTGCAAGATTTTGTGCAAGCCACTCACTACCTGGTCTAATCAGCTGTAGCCCAATTAGAGGAGCCGATGAGAGAACACAGTCACATTGTAGAGACCCTCCTGCTTTTGTGTGAGGGAGTGTGAGGGGGAATATTCATCTTAGTAACAATGGAAAGTAATCAATATTAGCATCTCTGCACAGCCCCTGCCCCCAAGGTGCTCTCATTTTAATAGAAAGAAGGACAATGAAACTGGCATAACAAAGTTTCCTAAGTCAAATGTCCAAGTTAAGCATTGAAATTACAAAAGCAAAGAGAATGCACATCTAACTCAGAGGAGGGATGAAAGAAAGCTTTCTCAGAGTGCTAGCCCTGAGATGAATCGTAAGGGTGAGCTCAAATAGCTACATCGGAAGAGCAACAACTAAAACTGTGGAGGATACCAAGTGTAAATGAAGCTATGGAGGACAGGAACTTCTGTGCCCTGCTGGCGTGAATGCTGTACAGCTATTCTGATTAACACTCAGAGAGTATTCAGTAAAATTAAATATGGTTAAGTGTGTGACCAAGCAATCTCACTCTTAGGAAAGCATATTAGTGAAATTTGTCAAATAATCAGATAAGTAAAATGTGGTGGGTGCATATTTTTGAATATTTTGTAAAGAAAACAGTGAAGTGTGTGTGTGTGTGTGTGTACACATTCATACATACAGCAACATGGAAAGAGCTCAAAATAGTATTGAATGATAAAAGATACAAAATTAAAATTGTAATACTCTGCTTCCATCCAAGATAGTCAGACATGGGTAAATATAACCAACAGTTTCCTTGGCATTTAAATCTCTTGGACAGATAATAAATTGTTCAAAACAAAAATAATAATGATGCCTTGTATTGGAAAGAATGTGAAGCAAAGGAACCCTCATATATTGCTGGTGGGAATATAAAATGATAAAATCACTTTGGAACACAATCTGGCAGTTTCTTAAAAAGTTAAATGTCAATCCTAGGTATTTAGCTAAGAGAAATAAAAGCATGGGTTTACACAAAGACTTGTTTACAAATGCTCATAGTGGCTTTATTGGTAATACACAAATTTTGGAGCAACCCAAATGCCCACCCTCAGGTGAATGGATAGACAAAGTGTGCTACATCCATACAATGAGCATAAAACTGTGCATGAACACAGCCAAAAGTTGAAAATTTTAAAAAGACAAATTATATTGCCAGATACAAAGCAAATTGATCAAGAAGAAAAAGAGAAGGCAAAAAGTCTTGGAAATGTAAATGAGGACAAAGTAGAGATGTAGCAGAGAATAAAAAGAAAATAAGAGACTATTATAAACAACTCTATGCCAATGTATTTTTTAACAACATAGATAAAATTAAGATAAACATTGAAATGAGTCGAGAGGCTCCCTAGGGTCCTGTTCTCCTCTGAAAGGAGGGACACTGAGCCATCTGTAGTGTAGACAGCTTCAAAATACGCTTCATAGTCCATGCTTCTGCAGCTTTACTGGGTAACCGGCCAAAGAGCTTAAGGAAACTTGAAGGGCAGGAGAGGAGAGTAAATGTTAAGTAAATGGAGGGAAAAAAAGTTTACATAGTATTGTAGTTTCCTCCTCTTTACTAAGACCACTGTTGGCTCTCTGGTGACACCTACAGGCTAAGGAGAGAATGAATGGTAGCTGAAAGCCCTGTAGAAGGAACAAAATGTCTAGGGCCAATATCAACTAGACTTCTGAAGCCGGCTATAATGTGCATATGAAACCTGGAGATTTTATTCAAATGCAGATTCCCACTCAGTTGGTCTGGGGTAGGACCCAAGATTCTGCACCATCCAAGTGACTCTGCACAGCTTGATCACAACCACTTGCTGAGTAGC